TCCACATAATGTCTACTTCCTTCATGTATGGGTAATAGGGGCACTTTAAAAGGCACTGGGAGGCTTTTGGAAATAAAAAGATTTAGGGCAATGGAGAGAAAATACAACAGAGAAAACACCCAGCATGGTTTTATTCACAGAACACATTACTGCAAAGAGCATAACATTGTAGGAGGCTTGTTGCCTCTTTTGATCATCTGCTTGCGAGGAAATAAATACATTTTGCATGTCATATCATTTTTAAAGCTGCACTCGGGGCAAACAGCTAAATACGCAGATGAAAACACATATTGAAGCAGTTTTACCTTCCATAGGAGTTATAGTTCTGTCCATCTAGTCCTGAGATTTATACTGCTCTGCCACACAGCACTGTCCTATCTTGCAGGGCAGGAGACCTGATTTATCTCTGTTGCAGTTATATAAGACTTTATAGGACTTGTCCCTCCCCCAGTCTGTGACTGGACAGTGAAAGGAGAGGATAAGCTCATCTGTCTGTCACTGTGCTCTTTCCTTCTATCAGGCTGTTGCTTTTTAGCACATCAACACTGCAGCTCACTTGCTGGCATCTTATGCTTCTCCCTCTTCCAATCTGACGTCGGCTGTACAGGAGACTGCAATATCAAATCAAAATGTAGGTACTTACTCTGCTTGCATTTTATAAATGCATTTAATGAATACAGAGATGAATTGATGTCTATTATCTAGATCAGCCTGGAGTTCAGCTTTAGAGGTCATTCACATGGGCGTGCACGCTACGGCAGAGACATACTCCCAGGAGGGATGAGTGTTGTATGCATTTGAGTGCAGCCACCTGTACCTCCATACGGTAGGACGCGGTTGCACGCTGACCGAAATGTGCCCATCTGTGCAGGTTCCGGTGCCGGCACTTGGGCACACACTGTTTGGATCCAAGTGCGGGCACCCGGACCTGCACAGACCTGAAGATTTGGGTTGGAGTACAGCTACATCCTTCCATAGGGAGGTACAGGTGGCTGCACGCAATTACATGTACCACCTATCCCTCCTGGGAGCAGGTCTCTGCACAACTGTGCAAGCCGTACAGATGTGCACACCCGCGTGAATAAGCCCTTAAACTAAAACATGATTTGTAGTCACACTACTGTGCAGATCAGCAATTGCTCACCATTATTCCTGTGTACTTGTTTCTATGAGGGGGGTCTCAAATACTTGCCTTGCAAGCACTGACCGCTGATCACATGGGCAACCTAAAATATGGCTTGTGATTAACGACACAGCAGAGGGAGCTTAAAAGGAACGAGCATTCCCTAAAATTGACTTTTTACCGCATTGCGCAATTTCAGTGCCAATTTGCGCTGTACCTACAAAAGCAGTACAAACAACCTATAAGAATATCTCAGAGGAAGCTAATACTAAGAATAAAAATTGAATCAGGACAAAAGAAATCAAAGAGTGAAGGGTGTTTACTGGCCACCCAGCCATAGGAGTACACTAGAAACTTGTGCAAATCCAGAGCCATGGACACTGTGAATGCAAATCTTTTTTTAAAAAATTCCAATTCATGAAACTTGTGCAAAAAAAAAAAAGTGTTCAATAAAATGGAGATTGTAAAAAGAAAATAAATCAGATGCCTGAATCATAAAATCCAATGGGGAGTAATTAGACTCTTACTGAAGATAAGCAAAGATATATATAAAAAATTTATACATCTGATCAATCCAGGATGACCACAGATACAATTAGGTTCAGCGAACAGAAACTTTCCAACAAAAACCAAATAAGTAAAAATAGTTGGCACTTAGATAATTGTGATCATCACAAAACATAAGTATCAGAGATACTCATTCTTCCGTATGTATATGACTGGGAATCACATATACCAGGATTGTATTTCAGATATTAAAAGGTGGTTCTCTTCTGCGGCTGCTTTAGAGGTAACAATGTTCTTCAATAAACCGCAAAAAAAATTGTAGGTGTGCAGACAAGACAATGAGCCAGCGATGAAAGTACAATGCCGCAGGATTGCACTAGCTGGAGGGGGTAAAAAAACAAATGTAAGCTCTCTACTATATACACATCAAAGCTGGTTTGAGCCTTTTTGCTACTTGGACAGTTTTTAACGAATACAAAATATCTTTTACACTGCCCGGCCGAACAAAAGTCACCACCTGGATTTCAGGCAGTGTTATGATTTGGGGTTGCTTCTTTTAGTCAGGTCTAGGTTCAGCAATGTTATGTCCCCACAAAATGAGGTCAGCTGCCTTCCTGAATATACTGAATGTCCAGGTTTTTCCATCAATGGGTTTTAATTTCCCTGATGGCACAATGCCAGGATTCACCGGGCTCAGATTGTGAAAGAGTGGTTCAGGGAGCATGAGACATCATTGTCACACATGGATTGGCCACCAGAGTCCAGACCTTAACCCCATTGAGAATTTTTGGGATGTACTGGAGAAGACTTTACGCATAGGAGGTCCGACTCTCCCATCATCACTGCAAGATCTTGGTGAGAAATTAATACAACTCTGGACTGAAATAAATGTTGCGACATTGCATAAGCTCATGGAAACAATGCCACGGCGAATGCATTCCGTAATCAAAGCTAAAAGACGTCCAACTAAATATTAAGAGCGTGTGACTTGTTTTGGCCAGGCGGTGTATTTCACTGTACGAATTTGCCCCACATCACATGGGGTGCACTGATATCGATACAAGTCACCAAATACTGGATGTCACATCATACCAATAAGGAAGCGCTCTTTATGATGTCATAGATTCCCAGTCTATTCATAAGACACACTGTTGCAAGCTTATAAAAAGACCCATTGTGGGTGAGATTGTTACACCAAGTACAAAAATGATCTCATAACTACTTGATTTGCTCTTAAAGAAAAGTGGTCACAGATTCAGACTGAGCCTGTGTTAAATTTTGCATTAACATAAGCTTCCTTCAGCGAAAACCACGTGTATCAGTAGATTCAGAGATCAATACAGCTGAATCTATATGTAAATCTTGACTTTTCTTGTTGAGGTCAGGCTTGGCCCCTCCCCTTCCTGTCTCACAGGCCTTTCTATGGCTTAGCCTAATGATAAGCAGTTTCGCTGATCAATTAGAAGGTGAAGGAATGCGATGGAAGGATGGAGCCAAGCTAAACTAATACAGGAAATGTACACAACTTCACTGTTTATGTGGCTGGATCTATAGATGATGCTTACATGCAGTTTTCACTGAAGGTGTAAGCTCTGCTTATGTATTTTTTCATCATTTACTCAGTCTGAATCACCCAGGTTTAATTTGAATAAAACTAGACACGCACATACATAAAAAAAATATTATATAGCACAAAATGCTCGAATACGGACTTCAGACTACGAATAATAAACGATAATAGATTCATGCATTTTCTTTTAGGTTTGATTCTATTTATAGCTAAAATATATTATAAATATTAAAGAACACTTTATTAACGTGGGCCGCATAGTTTAAACGCATTTCTTTAGGAAAATCTTATTTAGCGTAGAGAATAGTTAAACCCGTCAGGATTTTTGTTTGCCATCTCTGTATCATTGGGGAGATTTCCCTTCACTTCCTGTCCTACGGACACAACAGGAGGAAATCTCACCAAAGTGACGACATCTCCTCTTAGGACTGCTGTCACTAGAATAAGTGTTCCCGTAGGGATGATTTCCCCTGTATTTCTATTACGGTGACAACCGTAATATTTAGGATTTCTTGTCACTTTTAAGCTGGCCATTCACATAAGGAAATTCACTTTGTGGGTGGCACTGTTGGCAGCCTCCCATCTGAACATTGAAAGGCAGGCAGAAAATTCTCACATGAACAATGACTGCAGCCACTTGGCTTGTATTCTGACAGCTGGGTGATGTCCAATAGTCAGAATAGATTCATCCATCCATCCATGCAGTTTAGAGTGAATGGAGGATTTTGGGGTTTATTTTTAGGCTGAACGTATAAAAAATAAATCTTCTGCTGTATGGCCAACTTAGGCCACATGCCAATGGGGCATTCTGGGCTTCCTGTATGGAGCCAGCTTCCCAGCCAATAGGGCCAATCATGCATCCTTATTTGATACACACAGATTCTACCTCCCCTCACCAGCACTGACTCCACCCTTCTCCTGTCTCACAGCCAATCGCTTCAAAAGAAGGCTTCGCTCTGCTCACTCAGCAGTTTTCTGCCCCTTTCCTCCGGTATCAGCCATATAACGGAGCGCTGGGAGAGAATAACGTCTGGTCAGAGAAGAAGAGAAGACCGCTTCTGGGTGAGTGCAGGAGGCGGCTCTACCACCCGTCACCTCGCTCTTCATGTGTCACACTTGGGGAGGGGTGATGGGCGGCTGGAGGCCAGAAAGGGGAGGTTAGAGGCGGGGCAACATACCTATTATGTCAATGGTCGAGTGGCACAACACAATTGATGATTCAACCGTCAGCAATGAGCCGGTCATTCAAGCATCAGCAATGAGCCGGCCAAACAGCACGGAGCCAGCTTCCTGGGCAATCAAGAAGCCGGGTGGTGTGCAATGACTTGCCTCCCAGCTTCCTGATTGCCAGGAAAGCCGGCTCTATGCCAGCGGAAGCACCGGTATCGGCGAGTACCGAAATATAAAATAAATCGGTACTCTATACTGGAAAAAAAATCCCTAAAAAAAAATAAAAGCAACTTTTGGGGGGGGAAAGAAAATGGCCACAGCGTCCGAATTCCAATTGCTGTACATCTCTTATACAACTTACAATACTCAACAAAGTACAATGTTGGGGTTACAGCACTGAAATGGGCAAAGATGACAATATAGAATGCAGTAGCCTATACCAGAGTTTCGTTAGCAGAAGATAACTTCTGATTGGTTGTTCTGGCTGATTGCCTTTTTTGTCTTGCGTATCTTGAAGTACAGTACACATGAAGGGTGCGTTCCGCTTAACATGTGGACCCAAAGTAGCTTGGCCATATCCGATAACAATATATGACTTGGGATCATGCTTTGCTGAAACGCAAAACCTCATCACAACACTTTCAGCTGCCGTTCATCGTTTAGCTTGCGGAAGAAAGCCTTCCCGACTTCATAAGTGCTAATCATTATGGCGCACGCTGGAGCGACTTTGATTAAACGAGGAATAAGACCTGCAAAAAGGAAATAAGAAAAAAAAAACACAAGGCACTTAAAGCCAGACAGTACTGTCAATGGTAAAAGGTTTCTACTTTCTTTTTTTTTTTTTTTACACACTGAGCTTTGCATTTCTTTTGTGTTAAATCACCAGCAGGCTGAGAGGCGGCAGGAGGTAAAAAGCTGAGCCGGCAAGCTTTTAACATTAAAAACATGACAAGCCTCCAATTGGATTAGACCATACATGCTATGAAAACAGGTCAGGGCCCATTCATACTTAAGAGTTTAATGGTACGAGTCAATGTGCATTGCATTAATGGAGAACTAAAGCCAAACCTATTTTTGGCTTTTGTTCTCTTTTGGGTTAAAAGGAGTACAAAACATTTTGTGGGCTGACTTTGGGTCACAGGAGGACATTAGGACATATGCTGACATTGCAAAGTCGCACTGCAGCTGGGAAAGGCATTCACCCCGCTGCCTGATTGATATGTGTTGGGCTCTACTGCACACTGCTTTGGAGTGCCATTTACAATGATGGCACTGCAACGCACCGTACATAGAGCAGGCGCCTTACGGTGCAAGTCAATGCACATTTTAAAGCACAACACACAAGAAATGAAAATGAAATGAAAATGAACTGCGCCAATAAGCAAGCTAACAGCTACAAGGCACTGGAATGTACACCCACTGTGAGTGTGTATACGTGAAAAATTAATAATCGGCACATTTAGTTATTCAGTATCACACGTGTGTTTTAAAGAGACCAATCAGATCAGGGCTGGCCCAATCAGGTGCGGCTGGGGCATTTCCCGCTCTGCAGCTGCATGTAAACAAAGAGGCAGGATGCTGGTGACACCATTGACCTTATGTGGCCATATTTGGTCATCCATAGTGATAATACACTTAGGATTCGGCTGTGACACTACTCCCAACCATTTGAAGCCGTTCCACAGACTATTGCTATGCTTGCTATATGATTAAGCGCCTTTAAAAAGGGGCAAAACATGTTAGAGAGAGGCTGATGGGGGAATGCCTAACAGTTTGGGTGCATGGAAAATAAAGCTGATTTTAATGTCAAGAATGTGGTGTGCGGCTTCATCACAACCTGTTGCGGATTTGACTGCGACAGAAAGGACTGGGAGACTGCTGAAAGGTATGCGCACTTCTCAAGCCTTACACTTCATACCTGCAGCAAAGCTGCTTCCTTGCCTAGAGCCCCATTCTGCCTTCATCTGTCTCTGCACTCTACTAGAAGAATTGCTTTGATTGCAATCTGTGTCTCCATAGGGGAAATATGCCCTTATTTACTGTTCTGCATCTGACAAAGTCCTAATCCTTCCCCATTCTATCCTAAACAAAAAGAAACTGTAGTCTAAAGTTCACCTCTAAAACAGTAAATGCTAAAAGGTGATGCCGATAAACCTTTTCTGCAAATATCAGCACTCTTATTACCTTCCGCTGCCGGTCACATTACTGAATAATAGAGTATTGATCCTGCTATAAATGTAAGCACTAGTTATATTCCCATCACACTCCTTCCTGGGAACAGCTTGAAATAAGAGGATGATGCAGCAATACCCAGCTGGTTATCTGGTATCAACATAGCAGAAAATATATGTCATCTGCACACCCTGGATCCTTTTCATACAGTCCAGTTATCGTATCTCAGTGCAATTAGTGCTAGTGCAACCTTTCAGGGCAGTGCAGGATCCCTTCGTCATGTGATCAAATGTGTATGGAAGGGGTCATGTGCGACTTCAACGTTATGTGATTGCTGTAATAAATATCTGGACTGTAAGAAAATGGTCCATGGTGTGCTGGTGACATACATTATCCTCTGCTATAAAAGGTAAGATCAGAGTATAGAGCAGCGTTTCTCCACCTTTTTTTAAATCACAGCACCCTTTAAAAGTATGTCAAATCTTAAGGCACCATAGACACATTTTAAGGGGGACACCACGCAAAAAAGTGGGTTTCCCTTTCTCATTAAGATCTCTCCCTTTCACAACACAGTTACCCTTTGCATCAGAAGTCCTTCTTTCATATCAGAGTAGCCCCCCTTCCTATCAAATTCTCCTTTTACATGAGGAGCCCCCTTCAGCTCAGTTTTAATTCCCCCTTCACATCACAGTCCCACTACTACAAAGTTTTGAGACACCGCTGGAGGAAGTCAGAAGGAGCACCAGGGTGCCACGGAACCCTGGTTGAGAAAGGTTGGTCTAGACTCGAGAGAGAACTTCTGAAAGGCTTATTTCATTAGAGCATCAATCTACTTTATCCATACTCTGGAATTTGGCCATGTGACCAGCAGGGGCGGGAGCCCACAGCCCCTCACAAACAGCACAACTGGTTTATACAAGACATTATAATATGCAACTCCTTCAGCATTAAGTAATATTATAAGGACGGTGGGGAAGGGGTGTGTGATTACAGTATAGGTTCCATTTACAATATATAGTGTATGATGACAGACTGCAAACTCACCAGCAAACAGCCCCTGGAAACCATTCTCAGATATAATCCTATACATAATCTTCCAGGTTGATGAAGATCTTTTCTGAGGATCTGAGTGAAAAAAGTCACACTTAGCATAAATATATTATGCAGGAGATTGTGCTTTAAGCAGATAGAGAGACTTACTGCTTAACACCTCCAGCTCCCCAAGTTCTATTTGTCTTCGCGTTTTCACAACATCAAATGGTAAAGTCACAAGAGCAGCAATCTGAAATACATTGGGCGGAGTTAGGTAATCCTAACCAGTGTGAGCTTTAATGCGTCCCATGCAGACGGGATAGGTGCAGCAGAGAAGAAAGAAGATGAGACCTTTAACTTACTGAACCAGACATGGCACCTGCTGTAAAACTCATGGTAATGGTTGGCTCCAGCTTGTTGTATCTCTGACACAGCCACTTCTTGGCAAACTCATAGTTGTACCAGTACATTGCTGCAGGAAGAAGATAGGGATATGGTTAGAGCCGGTTATATTAGTACATAGCTAGAGACAGTACAAAACGGACATTAGGATATAGCCAGAAGTTTGTCTCAAATATACTAATACATGGTTAGAAATTTATATTAGATACAACAGTACATAGGGATATGGACAGAGCCTTGAGTTTGACTATATCCTCATGTGATGGTATATTCGAGTCTTGTATCAGAAATACCTATATATAGCATTATGGTCAGAACCTTGTGTCAGATATACTAGTACATAGGAACACGATCAGAGCCTTGTGTCAGATACACCAGCAGATAGGGAAATAGCCAGAGCCTTGTATCAGATACACCAGTACATAGGGACACGGTCAGAGCCTTGTATCAGATACACCAGTACATAGGGACACGGTCAGAGCCTTGTATCAGATACACCAGTACATAGGGACACGGTCAGATCCTTGTATCAGATACACCAGTACGTAGGGATATTATTAGAGCCTTGCAAGCTAGGCAGAGGTGAAGAAGGAAGGGGTCATTGAGAGGGCCCTTTGTCCCCTGTCACTGTTCCAACCACTACAAGCACAGCTCTTCCCTACTGTGACAGCAATAGGAAAATCTTAGATAGAATACAGAGTTCGCAATAAGGAACCCACCAGAGAATGGGACATCTCTCAGCACGGTGGGTCCCCATCCTTTCCAGAGAGACAGCCAGCCTTCATTGGCCACAGAAGCCTGGATACACAGCATCAGCTCCTTGTACGACAGCGGCCGGAATTGCATCTTGGTCCTGATCAGCTCCAATGGACTTATTATAGTTGCTGAACCCACTGCAAAATAAAACATGGTCTCCATGAGCCACACAAGCACCAACTGTACGGTTCTCAGACAGGGAATTACGGCTTATATCATGCTGCTTTCAGACAACCTAATCGCTCCAAAACTAAAATACTAGGAAGTGTGAGAGATGTGTGAGAGATGTGTGTGTGTGTGTGTGTGTGAGTGATAATTTTTTTATTTATTATAATACAGAATTAATATAGCACCAGCAGAATAGAAAGTTGTTCCATCTTTGTTCCTGGTGTGCGGTTTGGAACCTTATAAGATTAAAAGAAATTGCAAGTTAATCTGGTGCCATATCCCTTTTGTTTGGACTATAACTGAACAGAGGATTGGAACCCGTTCGATGTGTATGCACCACATGAAACTGGCACGGTCCTCTACTGTCACTGCCAGAAACCAGTCCCAAGAGTCTCTGAAGTGCATGTAGACAGGAACCTGCAGGAGATGAACAATGCAGGGTTGCAACAAAGGGTAACAAAACAAAAAAATACAATACTTTCTGAAAAGAAAAAAGATGCAGTTGTTTACCATACACGGAGCACACTGCATGCCATTCAGTCAGGGTTACCATCTATTTTAAAATCGGTTTATACGAGAGGTTGACGATTGTGAGAAATAGGGGCCCCAATTCTTACATCTGGCTGTGGCTCCAGCGATGAGGCACGCACTTTCGATACTATACATCCGATGGATCAGCAAGTCTCGCAGTTGGTCATAACAGGTGAAGTAGATCGCCGTGGCTGGTATGGCCATTACTCTGTAATGAAGACAACATAAAAATGATGACCACGGGGGCACATTAATAAAAAGATCATCATCAATGTGATTCTCAAAAGGAGAAAATGATGTACTGAAAATGTATTCAAGTTAGATTCAGCCAATCAATAAAATACTTTTGTTCGTGTGTGTTCTTTTTGAACAGCAAAGTTTCCCAGCACACTCACCAGCCAGCATGCAAAAAAAAAACTTGTCTCACCGCTAAGGTTAAAAACAGAGGTTTAGATACACGTCTTCTGCAGAAAAAGTGAAAGCCGCACAGGTACCTTTATATAGTGAGGTCCTAACTCTAAACTATGAGAGTCTCCATCATGGAGCACATGTGGCAAAATATAAAATTGAGTGCAGGTTTGTCAGGAGGAAGCCCAACCTCCCTTAAAAGGCACAGGAACACACAAATGGACCCTGCACATCACAACGGCAGCCGAGACCCCCCCATGCGTCACTGCACCAATTTGTGTCTCCCGGTGCCTTTAGGGAGGGAGAGGTTTCCGATGTTGCTGCAAAATTACAGATTTAAGGATTTTGCTTCAGATCCGGAAAGATGCGATAGTGGTACCACCATTGCTTCCTTTTAAACGTCATTCATTTTTAAAACAGAACTCGGAGATGAGAAAATATTGACCAAAAACAAGAGCCTTGTGTGATCCAACTTGAATCTTGGTGAGCTTTGTGTATTTCTTCCAGATCTTTGGTGCATGCGGCATGCATTTTTATCTTTCCTGGCTATTTAGGAATATATTTAAATGAAAAGTTATGTGCCTAGAATTGAGCTTTAAAGTGTATGTAAAGCCAAAACTTTTTTTTTTTTGGGAAAGGGTTAAAACCTCTGTCAGGTTATTGTTGCTGTCTGTCTGTGTCTCCACTGGGAAGACTAACCCCTCAATCTGGCCAGGTGACCACTGTCACTCGAACAGAAAGTGATAGTCAATCCACTATTCAGAAGAATGTTTCCAGACTCTGTAATTGCAAAGCAGTATTCATGTGGATACCGTTTTCACTTGTGAGACGAGGGAACCATTTACCTTGTGTTTAGATAGAAGCAATGATGTCTAGAGAGAGGGGCTCCCTGAATCACATGACCACTGTAAAAAGCCATGAAATGATTGGGAAGCCCCTCTCCCGTCATTCTGAAACCCTTGAAGGGCTGCCGGGAGCCAATGCAAAGGGGTTGGACGGAAACTGTCAGGGGAAAAAGGGGAGGTGCCATAAATAACTGCTATATTTTTGGAGGTGCATCTTCTTCCTTCAAGCTTCATCTTTCCTTTACCAGGGACATTACATGCATATAAAGTGTTTGGCACCAGGCACAGACTTGCTTGTTCCATGTCAATGACTCTACAGGTCCAGAAGGAAGGAGAAGGATGACAACTCTGCAAGTTCAAAAACAAGTCATGAATAGCAGTTTCCATAGTTGTCCTCTGGCAGGATCCTTTAAGTTTGCATTTTTCATTATTCTTTGTGGTGTTAGCCAACTTATTACCATATACACAATACCAATCAAGCTTTCTTTATGTATAATAATGTTATTTTATTATCATTGGTACCCAAGTGGTGATAGATCTATTCTGTTGCAGTTTTTTGGCAGCTCTGAAGTGAATTTGTGTTCAGAAACAACAAAAAGGACACACAAACAGGAATGATTCGGCACTTACAATGTTGGAGGAAGACCGCTCCAGAGGGACCGCACTCCTTCATGCCTAACAATCTGGACAAATGCATCCTGTAGAAAGAGAAACAATGCAATCTGAATTTTAGGGAAAACAGGAATTTAAAGTACAAGACCCCTGACTGGACAACACTTAACTTGCCAATGCAGATTATAAACAGGTGTCATGCTTTTTTTGCTTCACAAAATACTACGTTTCCCTTTTTTATCCTTTATTGCATCTCAGTGATGCTGATCTCCTGCCTCTTTCAGCCACTTCCTGTCTAGATGCACTCACTCCAGTGTTGGCTGCACCATCACCACCAATTTACTGGCAGTGACAATGCTGGGCCATGCCGAAAAAACGGTCTGTGTCGGCATGGCCGCCTTTAGTCTCCACCAGGAGTGAATGTGACACGATGACAGTGCAAGAAAACAATTAGGAGAAGTTGTCAGCCTATAACAGGAAGTGCCTAAACAAGAGCCTCCAAGGCAGGATCACCAGCTATTCTTTCAATTAAAGCTGCACATTTAAAGGATTGAAAGCTTGAGTTATCACCTGATAAATCCTTCTCCTCGAATCCTCCAAGATGGTTTACCTAAGAATTACATAGCTCTAGAGCTGCAGCTAACGATTATTTTCAAAATCGGTTAGCCGATTATTAAGTTCGATTAATCGGATAAACAATAAAATAAAGTTTAAAAAAATGGTTCCAGTGATAGGACTACTAGTTTGTATTGAGGTTGTAGTCCATCACAGGAGCAAGCTTGGAGCGGTGGAAGTAAAAAAGAAAAAAAAGATAGTGTGGTGTGCAATATAGTTGAGGGGGCTGGGGGGTGCAAGTAGCTGGTCTTGCCTAGGAGGCAAAATAGTCTAGCACCGGCCCTGATCACATTAAAGCTTATGGAGACTTGAAAATTTCCCAGCAGGATTGCAAGTAGACAACGTTTCAGCAAATCCACTAGTACCCAAGAAGAAATGTTCAATACTGCAGTCCCAGATTGGTAGGGAACAGCATCAGCCCCTATAGGCCATGGTTCCTGCATTGCTTGGCCTCTGAATTGAGGCATG